TACGGACACATTAGGTTCAATTAATTTATGTTCTCCTACATTATAAGATGAAAATAAAATAAAGCGTTTCATTGGGAGTTTTAATTATTACGAAAAAAATTCTATTTTATTTCTAAAGATGAAATAAAAAAATAAACTAAAGTGCGATGAGTGATATTTACTTTTAGCAAGTCTCCGCTGTTCAATGATGCGCAAACACAATACATAGATATTACATGAACTAACAAGTAGAGACTTGTAAAGCATAGGTAATAATATGCAGCAAGAAACCTCAAAATTTCTCTCTTAGGTGAGTCTTCAAGATGCAACTTTTCGTATAATAAATAATAGAAAGTAAACCTGACATGGTAAATTATTATTGAAATGCGAGATTTCCCGGGAAAATAAAATTTCCCGGGATTTTTCTCGTAGGGAATAAACGGCGAGAATCCCGGGAAAAAAACCCTAGCAATAAGGATTCACATCCTACCGGAAATCGAATACTGTATATAGACATCGGAAATATCTAGTAATTTCTGCATTCCACCAAGAAGTTTAATTTGTCTCTGTCTTTTGTTACAGCTAGCACCAGTTTTCTATATAAGTTATCCATGTAGCTTAATTATAGGTCAATTATTTTGAAGAGATTTAAATCGATTTAAATTAGTTTAAAAGAATTATTTTTGAAATTTTTCTTTATACGTTTTTTTAAATAATTTTTAAAAACGTTTCATTTCTGCATTTCAATTCAAAGAATTTTGAGGAAGATCTCTTTTGAAGATCGAAAACGTTCGAATTTGCAATAGACTTTCCTGGAATTTTTTTTGAGTTCGTTCAATTCGTTGCTATTTTCTAATGAATGTACTTTGTTATTATGCAAGAGTTAAAAGAATTGCTTCTAAAATGATTGTTTATACGTTTTTTTAAATAATTTTTAAAAACGTTTCATTTCTGCATTTCAATTCAAAGAATTTTGAGGAAGATCTCTTTTGAAGATCGAAAACGTTCGAATTTGCAATAGACTTTCCTGGAATTTTTTTTGAGTTCGTTCAATTCGTTGCTATTTTCTAATGAATGTACTTTGTTATTATGCAAGAGTTAAAAGAATTGCTTCTAAAATGATTGTTTATCTAACTCCTTGTTTATTCTCTTATCACAAATTTCCCTACAAGACCATGAACTCTCAAAGAAAATATTTCTGTTACTCAGTATATCACAGGAAGAGTCTGAAATACTTGGTCATACAACATGATCGATCTGTCACATGATTTAATTAGTCACTCATATTTTCCTCACATGTCACATATGGTTTCAAACATGGTATTACCTCCGTAACTTCTGAAATAAAGTGAAAACATCTATAGTAGTAAAATATCACAGAGGAAAAGAATGGAAACTAGAGGAAAAGTAAATCTTCAAGGTTGCTCACGTGGATAGACAACTTAAATTGCATTCTTGTCGGTACTTTTGGCAACATAACACCATCTTTAGGGAAGCTGACAAATCTCATTTTTTTGAATTGTTAGATGAGATAGCGCAGTAAACAAAATGGACAAAATATAACATTTAGAATATTTATATTGTATAATAGTACTTTATCAATTAACAGGTCTTATTATAATGGATTTATGGATGCAGAATTTTAGTCTTACAAATCAGAAATAATATTTTATGTTTACTTTAACTGTATGACAAATACCAAAAATAATTAATTACTTATCTGTTATCTTTGATAATATATAATATAACATATATGCAATGTATATTAATAAAATAAGACAAAGAACAAGTAATATAGAAACACAAAAACAAGAAGAAAAAAAATAATAATTAAAATGTTTATTTCAATTGATTATCCAAAACAGTTATTAAATGAATAGATTTAAAAATTAAAAAATAGCAAGCAATTAAAATCAATGGATAAAAAGCAAACATTTGTTCAACTAAAATATGTGCATACCAAAGTTACCAAAGTTATTTGAAAAAATTTAAAAAGTAGTAAGAAGTAGAATTAATTTAATACACGAAAAATAAATTCAACTTAAATGTTAAATGTATCTTAAATGTGAGCTATTGGAGTTTAGTTGAAATATTCAGTGAAGATTCACTCGAAACAGTAAACATTTATACCGAATTTATATTATCTACTATTCATTGTTTAATGTTTTTATTAACGTTTTTTTTAAGGTTTTCAATCTTAACCCTATATTTATGTTCTTCGTTAAATAAACAATCTGATATTTTACAAGAAACCAGCACTGTAAAATTTTCGCATTGATTTAAGAGTGTGCATGTTCATATATATATGCACCAATTTGTCTCGCATATAACATTTAAAGAAAAATACTAGAAAATTCTGTAATTTTGTATTTTCGTTAATTCGTCTCAACTCTCAGCCATTAGTGTCAGATAAACAAACTTCTATTGTATTTTAATATAGTTTGCTTTTCACTTATATTGTGATGATCTGAGATCCGCTATACCTTTTTCGCATTAGCGAGGTCGCTTTTTTTATAAACCTCCTAATTTGGTATAGGAGAAAGGAGGGACCTTTTACGGTCAATGGCCAAGACGATTTTTTTCGAAATAATTATTAACATATGTATATCAATATTAGAAAAACCCATTATTTGTTTAACGGTAACTCGATAGATGATAGAGTCAACGAAAAACAGCAATAATCGACATTCTCATTTTCTCTCTGGCTGCACGTGACACGTGTAATAATACAATAAGAGTATACACAAAAAAGACAAACTATAACAAGAGGGTAATAAATTCCCTCGTTTGTCGTCTAGCGTGACGTTTGAAATAAACAACATCGAGATTGTTGACTAATTTGAAGAAATTATTGTCAACTAGATGCTAATTGATGGGTGAGAGCTGTCCAGTTTATAGAAATTTATATCATAAAATCACATCTTTAAAGCACCAAGGTCTATGAGTCAAACAATCTTCCAATTGCAAGTAGACCATATTATCTAGATTCAGTCAGGAACACGACGAACAGGTGTGCGTACAAATCATTAACAGTATGACAGTTCTCACCCCTGCGAATTGAGTATATTGAGGGCTCACAACCTCGTTATCAAGAAGAGTGGCGTCAAAGACATCAGACAACGACTGATCACATTCATCCTCTGTTCTTTCAAAATTAATCGACTGACGACAAAAAACGATTAGCGAGGTAATTCCTAACTTATAAAAAAAAATCTCTCTCTCTCTCTTTTTTCTCTCAGATGGTCTAGGACTAATTAAGATTAGATATAGAAAAGTAATTCGAACCCTTCTATTGTCGCGAGCGTTTAGGACTAACTTCGAAAACAGCCTCACCAAATTTTCCGTTAATAATATTGTTATTGTCATTATTAATTATTATATATGTCCGTTTAATTAATATCTTTATTAAATCTGTTTAATATTCTAGATACGTGTGTTTACTCGTACATACGCGCGATTTCCCACTCGATCTTCTTTTTGTTTTGCCCTCCTAAATCGTCATCCACTGACCACATAAGCAAGACTCGCCTTCCCATCGAAGGTAGCCAGTTAAAGCTTCGACGCTTAAATTACAGTTCTCACAATATTGAGTTAAACAAATTGTATGAACATTGTAATAATGTCATTCCCTTTTTTATGTTATTGAAGAATATCTTCGATATAAATTTAATACAATACCGTACAAAAATTATTGCAGATATTTATATAGTCTTATCTTAAATTTTTTTTTCATTCCATAATTCATATAAAATATGTTGGATTGCATTGTAATTATATACATACAACAAATATTATACAAAATAAAATTTCACTAAAAGTTCCGAAAACTAATTTACCTAGTGTGGATGGAGAAAATGTTTACTAAAGATTTTCTTCATCAAATAACAAAAACTAGATTACCTATAATTAAATATAATTACACAAAGTAATCTTTATAATATAGAAATATATATAAAAATAATATTTGCAATCACATTTAAGGTTATTCAAAATTAAAAAAACAGCTGTTCTTTATGCAAACTACGTTAAATAACTAACGTGTGTGTGTGCTTATACGTGCTGAAATACAAAGGAAATTGTTCGTATCGATAGAAATTCAAACTATAAATAAGAATTTTATTTTGTAAGTATCTCACATGTTTTAAAATTAGAATATCTCTTATAATTAAAACTTTGTATTGTTTTAAGTGAAATCACAATTATTAAATGAAAAGTATTTCACTCGGCGGATTAGAGAGACGAGTTTATAACCTCGGACAAAGCTTAAATTTTTTATTACTTATTTAGATATTAAATTTTCGTTCGCTATCAATTTTCTAAACGTGGATTTATTATTTACAATGCTAATTCCTATATTAGGATAGATATAGTTGGATGCTAAGTTTGATCAGAATTCTTATTTTGAATTCATTATCGGCCACTTTTGGCATTATTGATACAATAATGTAGACAATTGCATTTTAAAAAGTTTTATATTTTTAGATAATTAAAAAATAATGTAAATGATTTCATTACATGCTAATATAATCCAGATATTACGGTAATTCCGATTAGTAAATAATTTTCTGTATGAAGTGTTACACGAATATCTATCTATAAAGTAAAATTAAAAATGAATGTAAATTACACGGTGATTATTATAAAACTGTGGTACTGACTTTTTGGCCTATACATTAAAGATAATATCTTTTAAATGACCTTAGTTTCCCTCTTTACAGTAGCAAACTCTTTCTATGGTATAGTGACTTTTGTCCCAACTTGTACTACAACATAATATGCATCTACTTTGAGAATCACTTTTATACACAAATAAAACTAAACTATTCGATATGAGATTTATTATATGTTTATACTTGAAAAATATATCTTGATGAAAGGAATAGTCAACATGATTAATTGTATGCTAAAATATGTAACTTACTATTAGTAGGTGTAGTTATTAAGTGTAATTTAAAGAAAAATTGCAATATAAATAGAAAGATTTAAATGCATTTTTTTCTTTCTAGGTGTTTATGGACTTAGATTGTACAATGAACTACGAATGCGAAATTTGTGATAAGTCGTTCGCTAGTAAACAGAGTTTAAGTTCTCATATGAGAATGCATACAGGAGAGAAACCCTACGTATGTAAAACATGTAATACACGTTTTGCTTATAAGAGGTATTTGAATTCTCATCTTAGAACCCACACGGGAGAAAAACCATACAAATGTAAAACATGTAATAGATGTTTTGCTTATAAGGGCAATTTGAATTGTCATCTTAGAACCCACACGGGAGAAAAACCATACCAATGTAAAATGTGTGATAAACGTTTTGCTACTTCGAACAATTTAAATTATCATCTCAGAACCCACACGGGAGAAAAACCATACCAATGTAAAATGTGTGATAGATGTTTTTCTTATTCGAGCAATTTCAATCGTCATCTCAGAACCCACACGAAAAAAAACCATACAAATGTGATACATGTGACAAATGTTTTGCTACTTCGAAAAATTTGAATTCTCATCTCAGGACCCAAACGAAAAAAAAACCATACAAATGTGATACATGTGATAAATGTTTTGCTACTTCGAAAAATTTGAATTCTCATCTCAGGACCCACACGAAAAAAAAACCATACAAATGTGATACATGTGACAAATGTTTTGCTACTTCGAAAAATTTGAATTCTCATCTCAGGACCCACACGAAAAAAAAACCATACAAATGTGATACATGTGATAAATGTTTTGCTACTTCGAAAAATTTGAATTCTCATCTCAGGACCCACACGAAAAAAAAACCATACAAATGTGAAATATGTGATAGAAGTTTTGCTCATTCGAGCAATTTGAATCGTCATCTCAGAACCCACACGGGAGAAAAACCATACAAATGTAAAATATGTGATAGATGTTTTGCTCATTCGAGCAGTTTCAATCGTCATCTCAGAACCCACACGGGAGAAAAACCATACAAATGTAAAATATGTGATAGATGTTTTGCTCATTCGAGCAGTTTCAATCGTCATCGCAGAACCCACGCAGGAGAAAAACCCTAAGAGTGTAGAATATATAATAAACATTTCAAGAACGCATCGTGTTTAACTCATTATCATAGATTCTACTGTGGAAAAACACGCTACGAATGTAAAATATATAATAAATCTTTTACTGATAAATGGATGTAAGATTGTCATTGCAGAAGACATTTGAGGGAGATACTAAACAACTGTGAAATATTCCATCAAAATTTCTCTCTTGGAACAAACGGAAGTAACAATACAACGACTTATTCAAATGTATTTCCCAGCAATTATGTTAGCAGCAATCGTCGTTTCGAACAACAAAATCATTTATTTCGGCTTCTTCCCAGTCATTCTGAATACAGACCATCGATTTTTTCTAGTGTGTAATAGTCAATTTTAAACTTATGCTCATCGTATAATGCACGATCTATACCCATTTAATTGCATTGTTTTCAAGTGTTCTGCAGCCATAAAACTGTAGAAGAACACAAAATAATACACAATTCATTAGTCAATCCGTCTTACCATTGCAATAAATGCACTGTAACATTTGCTTTGGAAAAAGATTATGAAGTTCATTTTGAATATAATATAAATTTTGTTTATAAATTTTGACTGTAAATATGCCTACAAGAATTTTATTGACAATTTTAAGTATTTTAAAGTGATTTTAAAATAAAGTTTATTGTGAAGATAATTCATTTTTTTATATTTATTTATATTTCATACATTTAAACTAAATTACAGTAGAGCATCGATTATCTGACCCTCGATAAACCGTCACCTCGGTTAACCGACTGTCCTAGTCGGCATATTTTAAATGTCCGCTAGCGATGTGGCGCTACAATTATTGGCTAGGTCTTGGCTACTTTAATATTATTTTTACGTGTTTTAGCTGGCAACACTGGATCGACCATGAAAGGGAGCCAGTATTTAAACGAGGCTTAATTTTCTAATTTTTAACGATACAATAGCGACGATTATTATTTTTAAAAAAATTTGATAGGCTTAACATGGAGGAACATTGAATGCGAAGTAGATTAATAGCGATATACTAATATACTAATTACATGGAATATAATAATATACTACACTAATAATGGATTTTTTTTATACTATTCGGTTATCCGACCAACCCCAGTCCCCACTTAAGTCAGATAATCGAGGCTCTACTGTAGATGATAGGATAAAGTACTATTTTCCTTAATTAGATAACAGTTGTAGTTCGATATTTTAGTAATAACTCTACTGTACAAAATATTTATTAATTAATCAAAAGATTTTGGCTGGCTAAGGTTATCGTTTCTGAGGATCCAATTATTAGCAAGGTTGAGGCCAAAGTTTTAAACGCGAAAACGTGCAAGTCAGAAGTTCAGCGCCACTGTCCTCTTAGCATAGAAATTTGACAATGTGTTTCGAATGTCGAGCATATTTCCACTGACTATGTAACTACTATTGTCAAACTCTTAAGGGATAAGTGCAATGGCAATTCGGTTCTCTATGCAGAAATGGATAGAGTAACAGATTGAAATCTTATATTTTTTTTATTTAAAATTTATGTCGGTCCACGCATTAAAATTTTACTGAGTCTACAGCAAATAGTAGAAGCAAAAGGACTCTTATATATAGCCTAGCGACGTAAAAAACAAAAGTTTTTTCAATATTTCAATACAGTGCAAATGAGTGAAGGATTTCAATTATCAATACAACCATCTCAAACAACATTTCAATTATCGCTACAAGAATATATTTTATTACTATTTAAGCAACTCAATGGTGTTGTTTTATCGCAAACTTATCAAAGCGACTTCGGTATGTTATAAATCTTTTTTTTTTTATTTTTACGTACCTTTAACTCCTTAAGCCTCAGGCAATTTTTGATATTAGTTTAATCAAACGTAAAAAATACTTAAAACTTAAAAAAAACGAAAAAAATGCGTTAATTTTGAAGAAAAAGCTTCAAATTTTATTTTCTTTTGTCTTGCCTTTCTGTAAAATATAACACCAATGAGTCATTGTTTACACAGCTGGATGACCTTGAACACAGCTGGAATCACATTTCCCGGGACGTTCTCATACACATCTCGGGAGGACAAGGGTTTAAAGTAGAGTGAGTAAAAAATTTGCAAATATTTTTAAATATTTTTAAAAAATTAAAAATTTTATTGCGATTTCCGACCCCCCTAATTAATTAAATTTATATGCAATAAATTATATTAATTAAAAAAATTTAAAAACTATTGGAGGTCGTTTTTGACATCAGAGACTAGCTTTCAATAACTTTACCGAAGTAAAATCCGTGCACTACAACTTAGGAACCATGAAATAAAATTGATAAAAACTCCCATTAAAAAACAATTAAGCATTAATCGAGCCTTATCAAAGGCTAATAAAAATCGCGATAAAATTTTGTCGCGCGGGCAAAAAATTTCGAAAAAATTTGGGGACTTAAAAAACATTCTAAAAATTAAAAAAAAAACAAAAATTTTTTGGGGGGGGCCGAAACGACCGAGTTTTATGTAAGGCTAAGTAAAATGCCCGAGATATCTCGGGCTTGAGGCTTAAGGCGTGAAATATATTTTGGATTCATATTGAGAGGACCTAAAATAATGTTTAAAGTCCTTGTAAAACCAAAATGAATGTTTTTCAATTTTTGCTTTATTTGTGCTTTAAATATGTTATTATCTTATGGGATATATCTTATTGATTTTAATAATGTATTTAAAGGAATGCTTAGAGTTGTTCCTGGGACCAAAATAAAATGATGAATTCGGACTTTAACTGTAAACTTTTTGTCTTGCAGCAGAGGAATGTCATTGTTCGAGGGTTGAATGTTTATACTAAAGAGGAAAGTTATGTTTCTATCAATATTTGATTTTTTTCTGACAATGTTATTTTTAACAAGGAGGCGACAAATTTATTTCTAATATGTCAAAAGTTTAGGTGGAAAATTAACCATTTTTTGGTTTACTCTGATCTCACAATAATAATGTCAGATTTCTGATGCCTTGCATTGATGTGGCCCAAGCAATATAAGTGGTAGGCTGATTCAGTGCAAGCGTCATTATGTTAAAGTAATAGGGCGTCTAGTTCATCGCCGTTTGATAACACGACAATGCGCAAAATGAAAATTTTGTACAAAAGATGATGGTGGAAACTGTTAAAAGTAAACCGCCGTTTGGAATTTAAAATAATGTTTATTATAAAAATATTTCCTCACAAGTTCGTGCGGTTAGAAATTTTCATGGAAGAAATGGCTCAATTAATCATGAACTCTTGTCTAAATGGAATAGAGTAACTCCTCTTTCAACGAGAACATGATCATTTGTGAAACAAGAGACCATGATTCGATGACTCTGGGGTGAGAAGATGCTAGATTCTTTTCTCTGAAGGAAAGGTCGAAGGGTGATAGGATTTCCTTCAGAAATGAGGATCTGTGAATGTTCTCTTGTGAGAGAAAACTTTGAAGTTTTTGCAGAAAAGATTATTTGATTAACCTTGCTGGCTTACTCTGAAAAAAGGGTGCATGATGATGGTTAATCTGTGAGAAAAAAATGTGACTATAGATTTATCACGATATGTTCCGTATTATTTTATTACATAGATATTTTTAATGACATTCCTTTTTTCATAATAATTAGGTATAACGCTCAGTAAGAAATGCATTGAACAGAATTAATTGTGCTGTTATTTCTTATTTGACCAGATACCTGGCAAAGTTTGGCAGGTGTTCGGTTTATGTCATCACTCTCCATCAGCAGATTCCTGCAACACTTATGCCATCTTTCTCCTCTTAGTCATATGATCGCAGAAGTATTTCAATAATTTCATAAAATAAATATCAATAAATAGGGTTTCAATAAACATACAACGTTGAAACTTGTTTTTAGTTAAATGTTAAATCTAGTGACAAATTCAATGTGTAAAATTTTCACTGGATAATGTTTGAAAACGCTTTTTTCTAACATGTTGCATTTAAAAGTTATTATAAAATGTTTTGTGTCATCTTTAGGAATACATAGCACAGCAAATGGTAATATTTGAAAATAAGTTAACATTAATTTATTTAATAATTATATTAACAATTCACATTTTATAAAGCAGTTACCTTACAGGAAAATTATGTCAGCGTGACTCCTGTCAGCATCTCACACTTACTAAACAAAATTCTACACAATAGCAAATTAATAAGAATAAATGTTTAAAAAAACACCATTTCTTACGTTTTTTGCTCAATCTTTATCTCTGGGCAATAAAACAAATTTATAATACATTTTGATTGGACGTTCATGTTTACTCGCTCATCGAAACTTGTTACGTATCGCATTGTCGCAGGGAACATAACGCAACGCGACTAACACAAATAATTAATTTTCATAATACAAACTGTGCAACTTGTATCATTTTGATATTTGAATTAACGAACAATCATATTACGTACTACTGCGACAGTTGTCAGGAATGCGCGATGAAGAGAAAGCCAATGCATGTTCATCAAGCTCCTTTGCAGACATTTCTAAAAGTATCCAGATTTTTTGAGCGTACTGCATTTGACATTCAGAATCCATTCTCTACAACTCACAATGGCAACAAGTGTTTAATAGTTTTCATAGTCTATTTTTCCAGGACAGAAGCGGTCCCTTTGCCCGATACTACGCTTTCGTCAGTGTTAAAACAGTGGCGGAAGCGTTCGTGTACCAAATTATTTTAAGACATTCGGTTCCGAAACAACTGCTTAACGATAGAGAAACAAATTTTGTTTCTAAGGTAATGAATGAAGCATGCGGTTTGCTGAGTATCGAAAGACTCCTAACGATAGCATATCACCATCCAGTGTAATGAAATGGTCGAACGGCTGAATAAAACGCTCCTAAACATTTCAACTCATTATGTTGACAGAAACCAACGTAATTGGAAAATAAACAATCTCTTCGCGTATAATACAACCATTCGAGAACGAATGAAACTCCGTTTTTTTTAATATATGGATGTTGTCCTACATATCCGTTTGACATAGTCATAGTATAATATAACATGACATAATATAATGTAAGCGAAAATTTCGCGAACAAACTCAGTGTTAAATTGAATTCAACACTCAAAGTGGCACAAGAACACGCAGAAAACGCCCTGATCGACAGAAAAACACATCACCAGCGGAAAAACAATCCGTACAAATTCTCAATAAGAGACAGAAAAGTCTTTGTAAATGAACTAGTTTTCTCATCCAGTTTGAAATGATAATTAGTTTACAGACGGCAAGGACCCTATCGGATAGTCGTCGAGACGTGTCCGGTATATTTCATCGTTTAGCACATTCAACTAAAAAGAGATTGTATTTGCATGCCAACCGAATAAAGCCTGCGATAACGGTATTAGAATGTAAGCCGTCTTTCGGAACAGGAAATTCTAACTCTGACCGAGGTAGTGACGCAGAGTCACCGCAAGCAGAATTAGTTGAACGCTGGGACAAGGTTATTTTGCACGCTATGCAACAGGCTCAGGCAGACTAAACGCAAACCACAGAAACTGATAAACCCGTGACCCCTTCTCAATTCTCACACAATTACGCTCTTCGATGCCGGGGAACCGTAAGCGTGTACCCTTGGGTCCTTCAAAATC